TGACTATATACCTGGAGTGGTATGGCTGAATCATATGGTAATTCTATTTTTCATTTTTTGAGGAAACTCCATTGGTTTTTATAGTGTCTGCACAATGTTATTATCCCAACAACAGTGCCTAATTTCTTCATCACCTCTTATTTTCTGTGTTATTTTTCTTTTATAGTGGCCATCTTTGTGGGTTTGAGGTGTGTCATTGCAGTTGAGATTTTTATTTCCTTAAAGATGTGATGTTGAATATATTTTCATACTTGTAAGCCATTTTTATGTCTTCCTTGGAGATATGGCAACATATGCCTTTTGCACTTTTTCAAATTGGGTGTTTGGTTGTTTTAAAAAAATATTTATTTATGCATACAAGAACTGGGGTACTGGCCAGAGGTGTGCAGGGATGGGGATGAGAGGAGTCACCCAAGACAGAGTGGGGAGCAGGTCAGGCAGATGTACTGCAATACACTGCTGAGGGGAGCAGCAGGTGAGACAGGAGAGGTCTGCTGCACCATGTGAGTCCCGTTCCTGGCCAGGGGATGAACCCTTGCTGCAGTAGCTGCAGATAGTTTCACAGCATTGAGCCCCAGCTAGTTGCGCCACTAAGGAGGCTCCTTCCTGTGCTATTTTTATCTGATTTCGGTATTAAGGTAATGTTGGCGTCACAAATGTATTAGGGAGAGTTCCCTCTTCTTGTATTTTAAAAAATAATTTGAGCAAAATGGCCATCAGTTCTTCTTTGATGTTTTGATAAAATTCATTTATGTGGCTTGTTTGCCCTGGACTTTTGTGGGGGGTAAGATTTTTTTATTGCTGTTTTAATTTTCATGCTTGTGCTCAGTTTATTCTGTTTTTCTGTTTCTTCCTGTTTAGTCTTAGTAAACCTATTGTTCTAGAAATTTGGCCATTTTGGGCCCTCCCTGGTGGCGCGGAGGGTTAAAGCACAGCACTACCAAGCTAAAGCCGCTTCAGTACAAGTTTGATTCCTGGCCAGGAAGCTGACCCACAAGACATGGCAGACCTCTCCTGTCTCACCCACTGCTCCCCTCAGCAGTGGACTTCGTAGATCTGCCTGTTCTGCTCCCCATTCTGTCCTCTAATGAATCCTCTCACTGCCCCTGCAGCATCTCATGCTTGTACCCCAGCTCTGTACGCATAAATAAATAAAAAATTTTTTTAAAAGAAATTTGGCTGTTTCTTCAAGATTATCATATTTATTGGAGTATACATAGCCTGCTCTGGAGAAGAACCTCTTCTGTATGAAGGCACCGGTGAGCTAATCTAGCCTTCCCCATCAGTTCAGGCTCTAGGGACTCATGTCTGGAACCCACAAATACAAGCTAGCAATCACTATCTTTACACAGGTTCTACACTGACAGTCACCAAGGCTGTCCCCTGTCTCGAGCGCTGCTATACTGGGATGTGGATATCTCACTCCAACTCTGGGTAGCAACAGTGAAGTGTCTCCCTTTGCAAGCATACCTCTGCTACCCCAGCATTCTACCTTGAGGCTCTGCTGCCTTGCCACTAGAGTTCTCAGGAGGTAGAACCCTCTCCAGTGCAATTCCTGGTTCTGCAGGTCCCAATGTCTGCATAAATCCTTCAATAAACAACAGCGAGGCTCAGTAATGTAACTAACCTTTTTCTTGCATTGTGCTGTCCCAGAAACACTTTAAACATAAATTTTTGTTTTTTTCTTCCTTTTTTGCCATGTTCTCTCTCTTTATGTATACAGTGGTTATCTAGTTGTCCTCCTGGGACCATTGTCTTTCATATAGAATTTGGTTGTAAATATGTGGAGGGGGTAAGCCCTTTATCTTTATTCCTCTGCCATCTTGCTGGACTTCGTGTCTTGGACATTTTGAAGATTGTATATTGTGACTTTGAGTCTAATTTAAATCCTGTGGAAAATATTGACATGTTTCACTTTGTTGGGAGTTTGTTTGAATAAGCAACCAACCTAGTAAGGTCTAAGCCACAATTTCCTACCTACATGCTTTGCTCTGTGGTTCTTCTTTTTTAAAATGTATTTGTTTATGCATCCAGAACTGGGGTACAGGCCAAAGGTGCAGGGGCAGTGACAGGATTCACCAGAGACAGAGTGGGGAGCAGAACAGGCAGACTGATGAAGTACACTGCTGAGGGAAGCAGCAGGTGAGACAGGAGTGGCCTGCTGTGCCATGTGGGCCACCTCCCTGGCCAGGAATCGAACTTGTGCTGCAGTGGCTGTGGCTAGCTTTGTAGTGCTGCATTTCAGCTCTTTGCACCACTAGAGAGGGCCCAGCTTTGTAGTTCTAATGGGCTCTACTGTCACTGTCATCTTGAACTAACTGAAGACAGGGTGAAAGTGAATCAAAGAAACAAAGCAAAGCAAAATCTTTTGGATTTCCTCCACTCTCTTCTAATCCTTACAGACCTCTTTCTTTCTTAAAAAGAGAAATGATGACTTTTCTTAGAGTTATTTAAGTATTTTAAGTTCTAGGTCTCAGGTTGCTTTTTGGTGCTGGTCAGCAGCTACTGGGGGGTGGGGGAAATTGGGATATTCATCCCTGATATGATGGTCTTTTTACTTGTGGTTTCCTTCTCCAATAAACTTGCTACCATTCGGTTTTTCAGAATATTCAGGCGTTTCATGCATTCTACCTAGTAGTTAAATTATACTCAGCAGGAGAAATGGAGTGGATTGTGTTTTTTCTACTTTGACAAGAATTGAAACCTGTTTTTGTTCTTTTTATAGGTTTTTTACATATATAAGTAATATGCCCTTTAAATTGTTACTTTGAAAATGTATCCACAATGTTTATCAAAGGTGTCCAAAACACAGCACATATTAAAGAACCCCTGGTAAAGTGGAAAGACACTCAACTTTAGAACCAAAGAGAACTGGGTTTAAATGCTCATTTGCTGTTTCCTGGCTGTGTGACCTTTGGTATCCTGCTGAACTTTTATTCATCTTCCATATTTCCATAGATTCAATAAATGTCTATAGAGCACCTACTACCAGCCACTTAGAAGATTTAATGCAAAGAAACTGACATAACCTTTGCTGCACAGAGTTTACAACTGAGTGGGAGAGGCAGATGGTCGACAACAGGTCAATTACACAACATCATTGTTATGCTAGGGAAGTACATAGTGCAAGGGAAGGAGAGAAGACTATGGAGTAAACTGAAGACCAACCCATACAAAACAGAACAGAGTTTCAGAGGTTAGGCCACTAAATTGAAGCTCAGTGATAAGGGACATCCGTTAAGCAAAGAGGGGACAACAGTGACTTAGGCAGGGGGATGAACCCTTAAGAGACATGGATATTTGAGGAATGGAGAGAGAACCTGAAAAGTGAGAAGTAACGGCACCACAGCAGAAGGAGTCAGGCCTAAAATGGCCTTTTGGCCGTGTTAGGACATTAATTTTATCCTCCCAGAAGTAGGAAGGCATAGATGGATTTTTTTTTTTATTTTATAACATTTTACATCATTTTGTACATTTTTTCCCCCATCTCAATTGTAATCCCATCACCAAGTCACCCGGGGTCCATCACCATAATCCCGTGCACTCCCCTCCCCACCGCCCTCCCCGTTTTTGATCCCATTCCCCACTCCACCCCCGCAAAATGTCTCTGGTATTTGGTTGTTCATTATTTTTGTTATTTTCTCCTCTGGTCCATTATACTCCTGCTATGAGTGAAACCATAGGTATTTTTCTTTCTCTTCTGGCTTATGTCACTAAGCATGATCTTTTCCAGCTCCATCCAAGTTGCTGCAAAAGACATGTGCTTCTCTTTTTTGGTTGCTGAGTAATATTCCATTGTATATATGTACCACATCTTCTTAATCCAGTCATCTGCTTTTGGGCATTTGGGCTGCTTCCATGTTTTTCCAATTGTAATTAAAGCAGCAATAAACATGGGGGTGCTGGTATCTTTTTCAATCAGTGTTTTTGTGACTTGTGGGTAGATACCTAGGAGTGGGATTGCTGGGTTGTAGGGAAGCTCCAGGTTTAGCAGTTTGAGGAACCTCCAAACAGTTTTCCATAGTGGTTGTACTAGTTTGCATTCCCACCAGCAGTGCAGGAGAGTTTCCTTTTTCTCCACATGGCATGGATGGATTTTAATCACTGATGGATTGTGACAAGTTCAGATCTAATTTTTAAAAATACTTTGATTTTGTGGAGAATGCATCAAAATCATGACAGCTGCAGACAGGCACAATGATTTGAAAATTACTGGATAAGTCCTTGTGGGAGAGGTTGAGTGTGTGGGCAGTGGTAATGGGAAAGAGGATAGTGAGAGAAAATTAGGAGATAAACTCAATTAAGTGTATTTTGGTAGCTCTGGAGAATGGGGGAAAGAGCCTCTCCAGTTTTCTAGTTGATTGGTGGTGCCATCCACTGGAACAAAGAGCAGGTTTATGTGAGAACGTTAAGGTCAACTTTAAATTTGCAGGTGTGAGGTGACTGAGTGAGGATGTTCCACTCTTGGCCATATTGGCCAAAAATGAAAATTGGAAGAGTAATTTGGGATGGAAATCATCTGTGTCTCTATGACAAAATGTCACAGGCGACTTAGCTTCTTTTCTCCCAACCTTTACTCAACATCTGTTGAGCGACTATTGATGTATGCTGGATTTGTGGGGATACACACAGCCCTGAACTGGAAGACTGGCTTTCTGCCCTCACTTTGCCTTCTACCGCTCTAAACTTGTTCTTAGTCTGTAAAATGAAGAGACCGAGGCCCAGGAAAATTATGAAATTAAGGGATATGAGGTCACAGTACGGCACCTAACTCTTCATTTTTAAGAGTAGTCTCTGTTACTTTTGCTTTTGAGTCTTCCCCTGGAGGCGCTGGCGCGCAGGCGTCCTGGACCGCCGCGGGTAAAGGGGGCGGGGCGGGCCGGAACCCGCGCGGTCTTCCCCCGGGCCAGGACCCGGGCGGGGTGGAGGGAGCAGGTTGCCCGTGACGTCATCAAGCCGCGCGGCCCGCGGGGCTGGACCCGAGCGCGACAGCGCGGCCGGCGGACTTGGGCTGGCCTGTGGGGAAACGAAACTGAGGGAGGAGGCGGCGGCTCTAGCAGTGGCAGGGTTAGGCCCGGTGGCGGCGGCGGCAGCGGCGGCCTGAACCCTCCCTCTGCGCTCCCTGGCAGCTCGCCCTCCCCTTAGCGTGAGTGCCGACGCGCGGCCCCGGGGGACAGAGCGGGAGGGCGAGCGGGCTCAGCATCCTTCCCTCACCGCTACTCGGCTCCCTACCCGCGGTCGTGACCCTCGCCGCTTCCTCGCTCCTTCACTCTTTCCTGCCTTGCCCTCCATATCTCACTCCAACTCTGGG